TATTATATTCAGGGCAAAAGAAGATTTGTATTATATTCAGGGCAAATTTGAAACGTTGGACTTGTTAGAAAACGAAAGTAAAAATCTTATTAAATCAAGTATTAAACCACCTGAACTTGAATTAAAAATATTTCCTGTCCATTTGAAGTATGTAATTTTAGGAGAATCATCTATATTGTCTGTTATTATATCTTCCGAGTTAACTGAAATTCAGGAAGAAAAGTTAATAGAAATGTTGAAAAAGTGTAAAAAGACTTTTGGATGGACTTTAACATATATTAAAGGAATTAGTCCTTCAATTTGTATGTACAAAATTCTATTAGATGAACAATATGAACCTAAAGTTGATCCTCAGAGAAGATTAAACCCGATAATGAAAGAAGTTAAAAAAGAGATTTTAAAATGGTTAGATGCTGGAATTATATATCCTATTTCAGATAGTGTTTGGGTAAACCCAATTCACTGTGTTCCGAAAAAAGGAGGAGTGACTGTTGAAGAAAACGAGAAAAATGAATTAATACCAATAAGACAAGTAACTGGTTGACGAATTTGCATTGAATATAGAAAATTAAAAATGACCACAAGAAAAGATCACTTTCCTTTACCCTTTCTAGACTAAATGCTGGATAGATTAGCTGGGAATAAATATTATTGCATTTTAGATGGATATACCGGGTATCACTATATTCAGTCTGATCGACATCACATTTTGACCCTGTGACCTTAAGCCATAAATCATTCCCTTCTTCTTACTACCCCAACTGCTCTCTTCAAATCTCACAGTCTGGCTGTTCAATAACTGGGCTAGAAACTACTCTTGCATATTGACTCTGAGCCTCCTCCAGCTGCACATTAGCTGCACGTACACATCCTACAAAAAAATTATGAAGGGCACTTAATGAAAAAAAAAAGAATAATTGTATTGATAAAAAAATTAATCTTGAGTCTCTAACACTTACATGTGTTCTTTGTGATCTAGTTTCGACCCACTAGTAATCTGACTAATATTGATGAGTACCAACATGTCCCTCAGTGATGGTGGGCTCTTCTTCAAATTGTAGTGTCTGATACGATAAAATAACATTATTAAATAATTGTTATCCACTAAGAGTTAATATATACAATAACTTTTACCGTCCACCTTCTGCACTCCAAAAGTGGGAATGTTTCTCCAGTGTGTATAATGGAACCCATACCCCAACATTCGAAAGCCTGGTTAAATTTTGTCTGCTAACACCTCTTGAAAAGGTTAGGAGAGTCCCAAGCTCATCGCAATTGGTTGTACAAATCAGCAATAGAGGCACTAACTCCTATAATGTATCTTAATGAATGTATCTTACAAAAGGGCTCCCCCTCTAGACTCAAAGCTCCTCCTAGTATGACCACTATGCTTGGGCTGTAAGGAGAATTTCTTCTGCATCATGAATATCAACACATTAGATTGATAAAGTTATGTAACTTAAGATTACTATTTAGAATTACTTGAAACTCTATAAGCCACATATCTTGTACTTCAATCTAGATCTCCTTTCACGATAAGTTTGGAGCATCAATTTTTTTCTATATCATTTCACGCCTAGTATGAACGATCTATGTACATGGATAAAATCTAAAAAATTATTAGTTCTGTCGTAAAAAATAACATAAATTACATTTTACTTGCTTCTACATTAATTATGTATTTATAGCGGGCTCTAAGCTGATTGTGCAGTGTGTGTTGCTTAACAAACATGAAACAACATGGAATGTAGGTGGTGATGGTGGTATGGTAGGTGGCAACAATGGGTAGTACATTGGTGATGTCGTTTGGGGTGAAGGTGGCATATAAGGAGAGAGTAGTGGTCATTGTATTCCCTAATAAAGTAGAGCTCGTTTGTGTGGTGCCACATCGTGGAGCTACATTCTTCCTCCTCTCAAGTCTGTGAACGAATCTTCCGTAAGGAGGGAGATCATCCCCGCTACCTGAAGCCTTTTGTATCAAGAAAAAAAGAGTTAATTAATGTTGCACTAGGAAGCAATGATCATTCTTAGAGATCCCCTCATCGGCTTGTGTCATCATTATTAACTATAGTGTTGCACGATGCAACACCACCAAAAATGCATCTTACAACTCCAAATAGAGGGTGTGTTCACTTTCAATGATGCATTTTATTGTTACTGCCACCAATATAATATTATATGCATACCATATAGTTCATATGCATTTACATATGTGACACAAACATTCATTTGTGAGTATACATCACTCAAATCTTTAATATAATATGAAACTTAAACATCTACTAACTTCTTAAGAGTGAATTGGGCTTTTCAAAAGATAAAATATTGGAATGTTTAAAACGGTATTTAGTTTGGATGGTAACAATGTCAAATCAATATAAAATTTAATGATTAGATATATAAATAACTAAAAAGCAGGTGGTATGCATATGTTTAAAATGAGTACATTATGGCAAATATAAAAAATAATGATAAGTATAAGAAAATGATATTTTTAATTAAATGAATTTTTAGTGGCATTTAATCAAGAAAATCTGACAATCAATGAAAAAAATTCATGATGGTGTCAATAAATCATTATAAATTTCAAATATAAATTGGCATAACTATCCCGCAAGAAATTAGGGGCACAAACCTTATGAAAAATAGCATTTATCCAATATATATCAGTTATAATTTTGACTCCTATACATGATACTTAATAAACCATATATATTAAAAAGCATTCGGATCAATCACTCATTTAATACATCAATCGACCAAACATTATATAACCAATAAAATTAGCTGATTAAATGTAAATATGAAATTTTCTTATATTCATAATTAACCCAAAATAAATGTCGATATCTGCACTCATATTTTTCCTTAATTAGTGCAATATTCTTGAAGTCATACATTAAATAAATTCATTTTAATAAATAATAAAAAAAACAAAAAAAAAAAAAGATAACTAGATTTTCAAACAAATAATTTAGAAAGCCAAAACCGCCATCTTAATTTCCTTCCAAGCTTGGTCCCTCAATGTCCCTCGCTGTCATGCTCACCTTCTTCATCAGACTTGGATCCGATCCCAAGTCGCAACCATGGAGTTTTTCCATCTTCATCATCCGAGTTCCTGAGATCACTAAGATCTTTCTTCTTCTTCGACTTCCTCTCCCATTCATGTTGTGGAGATTTTAAGTCGGAAAAGCAAAGCTGCAGCAAGCTTCTGTCCATATCATCGGTCGACTCCGCCGCTAGATCACCAAGATCATTCTTCCTCTTTGGCTCCCTTTCCCATCCATGTTGTAGAGATTTTACGTCGGAAAAGCAAAGTTGCAGCGAGCTTCTATCCATATCATCGGTCGGCTCCGCTGCTAGATCACCAAGATCCATCTTCCTCTTCGGCTCCCTCTCCCATCCATGTTGTGGAGATTTCACTTCGGAAAAGCAAAGCTGCAGCGAGCTTCCGTCCATATCATCGGTCGGCTCCACCGGCATGTTTAGGCCTAAATTAAGACGTGGATTTTTGAACAACAGAGGAAGGGTCGGCCTACGAAGTTGTATTTCATTCACTTCGCTGCTACTAGCTCCTATTTGTGCGTTTGGGGTGTAGATAGTGGCAGTAGCAGAGGCGGGCGCGGCGGCGATGGTCGTCGAGTTTACGGAAGTAGTAGAGGCGGTGGTGGTTGCCGCTGTGGTGGTAATTTTTAATGTTATCCAATGGCAACGCATATGACCACCAAGCGCCTGGCCGGTCGGGAACTCCCTGGGACATTTTCTGCATTTATGAGGCTTAGGATATTTCATTGGTGACGAAGGACGTCGCGGCGAATATTCTGTCAATGGGACAATCGATAATGTCATATTTTCCGGCGATCTGACCATATTATTTTGATTATCGACATTGTTATTTTGGTTTTTAATCTTGTTGTTGGTGCCGGCTGATCTAATTTCGAGGCTGACGGCGGAACAACCCTTAACATTTTTGTGGGCGGCTCGATGGCCGCCAAGAGCCTGGTGGGATGGGAAGACTTTATTGCAATTATCACATTCGTAACCTACAGTAGTGGCGGGATGGTTTTGGTTCGAGACAGGGGCACGCTCAAGGCAGGCCTTGGACAGCTCGACGAGGAAACGAGCCACATCTTCTTCTTGTGTGCGCGACTGAGTTTGACGATCGGTACTCCCACAGTTTTCCCCATCGCGTTCGATTCGTTTACCTTTATATGAAGGGCAGGGCGGTGAAGGTGGAATAAGGCCATCTCGGCCGTCATCGTCATTGCCGGCAGCTGCAGCAGCAGTACTAGAGCTACGATAATCACGTTTGAAGTAGGAATTCCATGGAAGGAACTCTCTATTGTATGAAGGCATATCAGCGGCGGAATCTCCACCAGCTACGGCGGTGGGCAGCCTTTCTTCTTTCTCGATAATGATTTCATCTTTTAAACCGTGGGTCCGAATGTGCTCCTCATAATCTCTTCCCCAACTGAATCCTTTGTTACAGATTCGGCATTGATACTTTTGTTCCGGGTTTATCTTCTTTGGCTCCATGCAGTCGGATGGGGGGAGAAAGAGAGATTGAGACTAATATGGAGATAAGGAGGAGTTGACATATTTAGAGCAGGGAGAGATGGGTGGCTTTAAATAATGGAAGCTTTTCTAGGCTCTGTGAAAGAGCTAAAATCTCTCCGTAGAAGTGAAATGGGAGGTGGAGGAAGTAGATTTTGATGGAAAATGAGTGGTGGTGGGGATATGTAAATATCTTTCGAATAACCAGCTTTGGCTTTCCTCCTCTTCTCTAACTTCTTAAAACATGTTACATCCGCGGACTCCACCTAAATTTTAGGACGTCCCAAGTAGGGAAAATATTTGCGTACATAAGATGTACGCAGCTCTGGGTACATCAGGGGTTATTCAGAGAGTACAATGGGGTTATATCTGAGTTATACCCCCTTGTAACTTCCGGTATAACCCGGATATAACTCCCCTGTACCCCCAGAATAACATCTGATGTACGCAGCACTGCGTACATCTTATGTACGCAAATATTTCTCGCCCTTCTAAAAATCCTACCCAACTAGTGGATGTAATACTTTCACCCTATTTACGGCATTTACATACACGCCACATACAGTTCTTATATATTTACATGTTTACCACCTAAATTTTAGCATTTACATTCATATTACTCAAATTTTTACAGCACTGCCAAAAAAATTCTATTATTATCAACTTTTCAAGATGTAAAATAGAAATTTTTATTTTTTTTTCGTAAATTATAACATCAAAATGTAAATATGAAACTTTTGGTCTTAAATATGCATATAAATACAAATAAAATTCACAATTATAAATTTCTGCACCATTTTTATAAGTAAAATGTAAAGATATTGTTATAAGAATTAATTTTAGATCATTAACAATTAACGTGCCAAATTTCATGGAAAAAAAAAACATTGTATTTAAGCATAATTTTGTTTTATATTTGTATAATGGCAACAAGAATTAACATACTATATTATAAAATTTATTTTGTTTTAATTGATGAAATTTGCAAATTACAAATTATATAATATTTGCTTGTTTAGTTGATGTTTTCAGCATACATGTAAAATGTTGGATAATCAAAAAATAAATATTTTGAAATTATCATAGTTATTTATTTGCCAATAATATAAGCGACGCAAATTATGATGTTAAAAATTGCATCTTGCGGAGAATTTAGCTAACATACATGAGCAAGATTCACCTTTATTTTATTTTATTTTATTTTACATGAGCAAGATTCACCTTTATTTTATTTTATTTTATTTTATTTTATTTGATTTATTTGATTTGATATATCATTGAATTTTTTTATTTGCCGGATATTTAAGCTAACAATCTTGCGTTATTTGATATAATCAAGTAAATTAATGAATTTAATATATATTTTTGCTATGTTTTGTGTTCGCCATGACATACAACTTATATGTTATTTTACGCCTACTTGGAAACTGCATCAAATTATTCGAAGTTGAATACACGCTTATTTCTCTCGTTTAAACTTTGAATGAATTGAGCCGTTGAGGGGTCACTGCAGGATTTTAGGCCATTTTAAGCAATTTACGGCTTGCTGCACCCGTTGGTCATATTGAGTTTGTCGTCGGTTATTTAAAGAAGCAAAAGCTATCCGACATGTGTTTGCTGCTTTTATCATCCTTGATAGACAATTGACAAAAGGGTTTCAGAGTAACTTATATTTTCGACGACATTCTGACGGTCCTTTGTCCATTGGTATTATTTTCTTATGATAACATTTCTATCGCTTCAAACCTATTCAGAAATTGATGGCTCCCTATCGGTTTGATATCGGTTAAGAGATAGACATGGCATTACCTATCGGGGTTTGGATATCGATAACCCATCGGAAGGCCCTTGATTGACCATCGAAACATTGTCCCTAAAAAAAAATTATAGATCATCCCTTTTTTCTATATAATTTTTACACTTGTAATTGCACCATCTCGCTTCTCCATTGGTTGATTCCCTCTCCAATGTGTCTCACGTCACACCTTCTCCAATTTCATATTCATTCTCGCTTCCATCTTAGCGAGTTGATCTGTGCAACTCAGGCCTCCACATCTTTAGTGGTTGTTGTAACTTACCTACGAAATGAACTTCATCATCTTGGATAAATGTAGAAGCCTCCCAAAAAAGGAGCGGAGTCCGCCGTACTCATGTCCTTGTGTTTCAAGCCATAAATCATTCCCTTCTTCTTACTACCCTAACAACTTCTCTTCAAATCTCATAGTCTGGCTGATCAATACCAGGGATAGAAACTCCTCTTGTTTACTAACTCTGAGCCTCCTCTAACTGTCGGTACATATTCTACAAAAAATTATAAATGATACTTAATGAAAAAATAAAATAAAATAATTGTAATGATAGAAAAATCATTCCCTTGAGTCTCTGACACTTACATGTGTTCCCTGTGTTCTAATGTCGACCCACCGGCAATCCGACAATACTAATGATAACCAATATGTCCCTCATTGATGGTGGGCTCTCGTTCAAATTGTACTGTGTCATAAGATAAAACAAATTTATTAAATTTTTGAATAAGATTTAATATATGCAATAACTTTTATCATCCACCTTTTGCACTCCAAATGTGAGAATGCTCCCCTAATGGTGCCCATATCTAAAAACTCTCAATAAAAATGAGTACATTACAAATATAAAAAATAATGATAAGCATAAGAAATTGATATTTTTAATCAAATGAATTTTTCGTGATATTTAATCAAGAAAATTTGACAATCGACTAAGAAAAACCATCATGTTGTCAATAAATCAAAATAAAGACATAATCATTCCGAAAGAAATAAGGGGCACAAACCTTATGAAAAATAGCAACATATATCAGTTATAATTCTGACTCTTATACATGATGCTTAATAAACCATATATATTAAAAAGCATTCGGATCAATCACTCGTTTAATACATCAATCAACCAAACATTATATAGCCAATAAAATTAGCTGATTAAATGTACATATGAAATTTTCTTATATTAATAATTAACCCAAAATAAATGTCGATATCTGCACTCATATAATTCTTTAATTACTGCAATATTCTTGAAGTCATACATTAAATAAATTCATTTTAATAAATAACAAACAAAAAAAAAGATAACTGGATTTTCAAACAAATAAATTAGAAAGCTAAAAATGTCGTCTCAGTTTCCTTCTCAAGCTTGGTCCCTCAATGCCCCCCGCTCTCATGCTCACCTTCTTCATCAGACTTGGATCCGATCCCAAGTCGCAACCATGGAGTTTTTCCATCTTCATCATCCGAGTTCCTGAGATCACTAAGATCCTTCTTTCTCTTCGGTTCCCTCTCCCATCCATGTTGTAAAGATTTTACGTCGGACAAACAAAGCTGCAGCGAGCTTCCGTTCATATCATCGATCGGCTCCGTAGCTAGATCACCAAGATCTTTCTTCCTTTTAGGCTCCCTCTCCCATCCATGTTGTGAAGATTTTACGTCGGAAAAGCAAAGCTGCAGCAAGCTTCCGTCCATATCATCGGTTGGCTCCGCCAGATCACCAAGATCCTGCTTCCTCTTCGGCCCCCTCTCCCATCCATGTTGTGGAGATTTCACGTCGGAAAAGCAAAGTTGCGGCGAGCTTCCGGCCATATCATCGGTAAGCTCCGTCGGCATGTTTTGGCCTATATTAAGATGTGGATTTTTGAACAAAGGAGGAAGAGTCGGCATATGTAGTTGTATTTCATTCACTTCGCTGCTACTAGCTCCTATTTGTGCATCCGGGGCGAAGGTGGTGGCAGTAGCGGCCTTGGCCGCGATGGCGGTGGTCGTCAAGTTTACGGAAGCAGCGGTGGCGGTGGTGGTCGCCGCTGTGGGGGTAATGTTTAATGCTATCCGATGACAACGCATATGACCACCAAGTGCCTGGCCGGTCGGGAACTGCAGGTGACATTCCTTGCATATGTGAGGCTTGGGATCTTTCCTCGGTGGCAACCGATGTTGCGATGAATATTCTGCCAATGGGACAATCGGTAATGCCATATTTTCTGGCGAATGTCTCGTCATATTATTTTGATTATCAACATTGTTATTTTGGTTTTCAATCCTCTTATTGTTCGCGTCGGCTGATCTAATTTTGAGGCTCGCGACAAAACAACCCTCAACACTTTTGTGGCTGGCTCCGCTGGCGCCCCCGGGCCCGGGGGGGGGGGGAAACATGCAATTATCACATTCGTAACCTGCAGGAGAGGCGGAAAGGTTTTGGTTTGGGACGGGGGCACACTCGGAGCCGGAGTTGGAGAGCACAAGGAGGCAATGAGCCACATCTTCATCTTCTGCGCGCAATTGTGGTGGTGGATGTGGGTTTCCATCAACTGGTTCGCCGCCGCCGGCAGCGCCAACATCAGAGCTGCAACCACCACGTTCAAAGTTTGAATTTCTTGAGAAGAATGCAGAGATGCCTAACGGCTCGCAGGTGGTGGCTTCTCCATTGTTCATCCGGTGGCTTTGCATGTGTTCGTCGAGCTCTTGTCCGCGACTAAATCTCCCTTTACATATACGACATTTATGCTTAAGTCTCCCCATCGGCTTCAGCTCCTGTTTTATCATCCTTTCCATTACTAGCGGTCGGAAGAGAGAAAAGGAGAGATGAATAGAGAGATAAAGAGCAGTAGGAATATATATATATACATATATCTATAGACGAAGGAATGAGACAAATGGCTGATTGGGAGAGATGGGGGCTTCAAAGCCGTGCCTACATTCTAAATTTTGCCATTGCACGTGAGACCCACAATTCCTTGTTTTTTTTAGCGCATCTTAGTGTACCCTTTGTTCCGATAAAGGGCATTTACATATATACCACACAATTCTAACATATTTATATATTTAGACTTAAACTTGCATATTTACATGCATACCACTTCAAGTTTTAAAATTGCATAAAAAATGCTATTATTACATAAAAATATATGTTTTTATGGAAAAGTTTTAAATAGGCAGTTGTTATAAAATAAATAACATATATTAAGTATTATATATATTGTGTGGTATGCATTCAGATTTC